TTTAAAAAGGAACTTTCTTAGGCGCTTAACAGCGTCCTTTTTGGCCTTTAAAAACCGCATTGAATAGCGGTCAAAAATGAAACTTCTCCCTCCCAGCTGATCACTGGCAGAACTACTTTTTCGACCTGTAAACAGGTTCCCCCCTCCCTCCCACCTCGAAGAACGCGCATCGGAATTCCCCTGCGTATTCTTCATCTGACGTATGCTAAAAAATGATTATCAAGGTTCAAGGAAACTTCACCTTTTATTTTTCTAGTCAAATTTTTATGGCTGCCCCTATCTAAATTATTCTGGCCCTTTTTCGGCGCAAAATTAAGACCTTCTGAGTTTTTTGCCTTTTTTTGACTCAGTGTGAAAGCACTTACTCCAAGTCATTCGGCTTATCAAAATTTTTACCCCCATTTGACAATCCCCTCTTTCGGATGATTTAATTTCATTTGAAGATGTGGAGGTAAAGGCGTAATTGCCTATGAACTCCGTAAATTGCACTTCCTTGATCCTTGATCCTTACGTAATTGGCTGAGAGTAGACTGAGTGTGTTGATTTTGCATATTTGGGGTTTTTTTTTTTGGTGTTTCTTCATTAATTTTTCCAATATCTATATTTCCTGGTCTTTTGGGACCTTCCTTTTGGCTCGTATACACGTTACACATGGGGAAACCACGAAAACGCCCATGCAGCCAGCCCGTTCGCGGGATTCGAACCTCGGACCGAACTACCAGTGTTCAGCGACTTTACTGCTCGGCCGCTGGTGGGTAGATATTAATAGGACTGAATGCTGTATGTGTTTGTTTTGGTATCAAAAAAGAAATATGTATATATAATAACTTAAATGTTACATTTCATTTAGCATATTCAGTTTAACCATTCTATGAATGAAAAAAAATTAGAGTTATCAGTTTAGTTGTGGAAAAATATTATTCATACACAGATAAATACACTCATAAATACATTATGCAGTTTATCTTAACGTCATTTGACTGTCATCGTGCTTTCTGTGAACACATGGAAAAAGGGTGGATGTTTATTTAATATGATGACCTGTGTACAATATCCCCACAGACATAATGATTACATTCGTAGATACTAGCAAAATTCTGCAGGTAAATTTATATAATTAAAGGCAAAAGTCAAAATTGGTAACTAAATTTTAAACACTACATTCAACAAAATCTTAGTAAATATGGATCTTAATTTTATAAATGAAATTTTGTATGAAATATATCATGGTGCACTGTATAGTAATGGAATGCAAATTTTAAAACTATAATAAATAAAATATTTGCTTAAGTTATATTATTCATTCATAATACAAATCATAACAAATTATAAGTACAGATAGAAAATGAAATTTTATATTTTACAAGAATTTTAGCATATTTGTTTTTTAAACGTTTCTATATTCTTAAATCATACATTTCCTAAATTTTGATTGCATTTAAATGCATGCTCTGTGTATTACTCTGTTTTCAAATAATATGAAAGAAAAAAGCCTTAATAATTAGAAAATTAATATTGCTGAAGGAACTGCTTTACTATCTTTGCAAAATTACTGTAACTAAATTATCCAGAACTGATAGCCTTAAGTATAATAATACAACTTAATTTGCTCGCCAAATGAATTGTGGACTTCTAATATGTTGCTTTCTGTACTCTGCGGTGTTGTTAGTCCTTCTTATTACTTATATGTATCCCGTGTATTAATGATATTGTATTTCTGGCATGTACCATATTAACAGTACAATAGGCTCAAATTCTAAGTAATTGACAAGGCCCATCAGCTGAACACTGGTGGTTTGACTTCAATTCCTGGAGAAAAGGCTGGTTGCATGGCCATTTTTCCATGTGTAACACGAGTTATTTAATGCAGTGAGCTACATACACATAATTTAAAACTATTTAAGCATATTTATATGCATCTGTCACAATTCACAACAATATTCAAAACCGTTGGCATTTAAATACACCTAATAAAATGCATAGAAGTTTCTATATATATTAATGAATAAATTAATTTAAGTAACCCGAAAATTCAAAATAACTTGCATCAAATCAAAAAACACTGTAAGTTTCTATACCTATGAAATAATACATTTTGCTGATTATTTTTTATTTTGCCTGCATTATTGGTGCATAATGCAATCGCGCAGTGCGTACCAACCATTATACTACATAAATTTAATTATATTTGAGAGAAAAAAAAAAACGAATGAGTTTCCACAGTCGCGCACAAGCTTACATTCAGCTTAAATCAATGCAAAAATCTATGTTGATCTGAGGAGAGAAAACTTCAGTGACGTCACAGCCAATAGACAGCGAGAACGCATTTTCGTTTGTTTACCCCAAGTGAGCTAACCTGTTCTTTCTACGGACCTTGGGAAATGGCAGCTATAAGACATTTTGTGCTGTCACATCATATTTTTACATTTCTTTAAATGTACTTAGTTCCACTTTCATTGCACATTAAGCTTAGGAGATGCTTATTGCATTTATTCCAGTCTTAGATATGCACTTTACTCATGGCTGAGAGATAACATTTTATTTAGGTTTTTTTTTTTTCCCCAGATGGTTACAGAGTTGTTTACTTACGTTATTTAGATAAAACATTCCAATGTTGGTGTCGTTTCAATATTTATCTGATACCTAAATTACTCATTGTTTTTGCAAGAAATATCGCTCTTGGGGTTTTGTTTCTAGATAATCATTTGAAAATCTGTGTATTTTAATAATTACTCTCTTTTGCCAAAAAATCAAAGCACCATGAGGGAAGTGGTTGTTTTTGATGAAATTTAATATGTGTATAGCTCATACACAGCTAATAAAATGATTTAAAGAATCAAGGTCGTACCTGTTCACGGCTCACAATCACCCACTGTGTGTTCAAATTAGCAGTTGGTCGAACCAACCCTGGCGGCGATGCATGCTTGAATTCGGCGAGGCAAGGAGTGGTAGAGGTTCCTGATGTCATCCTGTGACACATTCTGCCAGGCATTCATCAGTTGTTGCTCCAGATCTGCGATATTTTGTGGTGGCCGAATCTGGCAGCCTACTATGTCCCAAACATGCTCGATTGGGGAAAGGTCTGGTGAACTTGCTGGCCAAGAAAGAGTATCAACCACACGGAGACAGTCCAAAAATATGCAAGCGGTATGTGACCTGGCATTATCTTGTTGGAAAATGGCGCCAGGATGACGTGCCATAAAGTATAATGCAACCGGCCGCAGGATGGTATCAAAGTATCATTGAGCTGTTAAAAGATGTACAGAGGATGACTAAAGATGACCTGCTGTTGTAACAAATAGCACTCCACATCATCACACTAGGGATTATGGGTGTATGCCTGATTGGGACCACTGGCCCTGTCCTCTCCAGATACGAACACAGTGGTCATCTGCTTCAAGAGTAAAGCGGGATTCATCAGTGAACACTATACGATGCCAGTCTGATGGCAGCCATAATGATCGGCTGCGACAATACTCCAGACAACTAAGCCGATTTTGTGGGGTCAAAGGCAAACATTTTAAAGGCCTATGTGAGCGTAACCCCGCCTCAGACAAGCACCGTGAGATGGTGGACAGTACCACGGGAGGTATAGATGTGGCTGTAGTGCGTTGAATAGTTGGCAATGATACCGTTGGGGCAGTTCAGGCCTGGCAAACAATCATCCTATCTTGCCTCCCATTTGTGCTCCTTGGCCTTTCAGAGCCTTCATTTCATTGGCAATTTCCTTGTAGCAACCATAGTTGCCAACATCTTTGCACAGCAGTGTCTGTACACTGCAGGTGGTGGCCTATTTCTCGGTATGACCACCTAGCTTCACGCAACCCTACAATGTGACCACTTTTGAAGTCATTTAGTTGTCTGTGAGGTCTTCGATTTTTATAGTTTGCTAATTGTGTGCTATGATCGCAGTTCCTGTTCATTTGCCTTGAAACTTTGATCATTTGCATGTTCGATCAAGATGTTTTTGCATACCAAATTTCGTCACGATCGCAAAAGTCCTTCTTGGTGCTTCGATTTTATATATATATATAAGAGTTGTATTTAGTTTCTGATCTTTTGTAATTTTACTTATAAATTCATTTTATATTTTGAAATAATTATTTTTTATAAAGTATTTTCTATTTCATTTATATTAAATAGAAAAATCTGAAATTACTTTTAAACAGAATGCTTTAAAAGTGGTTTGATTTAATTTATAATTAGTACAATGATTTTTAAATTATAAAACATTAAAGTAACTTTTAAAACTACAGTCAAAAGTCGCTAATTCGGACACCCATAATCCGGAATGATCTATAATCCGGACCTCAAAGCTAAAAACTATCTGCGCATGCGCATAGGTATTTACCCGTGCGCGTAAGACCTTTACGACTGCGCACATGCGTGCGCGTTTTATGTATAACGGACGGTATAAGCTAAAATTATCTAATTATCTATTTCAGTTAATGTTGATGATTCCGTTGTTCCTTAATCTTCGAATTGGATCCGGCTTATTATTTTTTGCAGACTGTAAGAGCAATTTTATAAAAGTAAACTTGAACTTTCGATTATGTCAAATAGAATTTCCGATGCTGGAGCTCCCAAAGGATCTACAAAACGAAAGTATGTTTCGATGTCCATCAAACAAAAAGTGGAATTGCTGCAAAAAATGGATAAAGACATGAACAAGATGACAGGGAGGTTAGTGAAAACAAAAAAATTTCGATTGACAAGTTAGTCGGTATTCTCGGCACAGCAATTACGGGACTTGAACAGCGGAACTTTGTAACTGAACAAAAAAATTATGTCTGTTTATAGAATTAAAGAGAAAGCATTATCACATAAAAACGAAGCAACTTAAACAACTTACATTGAAAGAAATGTTTAATAAAGTAAACAAATAAATATTAAGCTTTTTTTTTGTAAATTTTGATACCCTTTAGATCATAATTGTTCTTTATTTCATAAATTACGGTTTCATATTTTTAATTTTAGAATTTCTGCATGCCATCTTACGAGATTCAAACTGATGATCTATAATCCGGAAAAATTGATAATCCGGAATCGCCGAAGTCCTGACGAGTCCGGATTAACGACTTTTGACTGTATTATATTTTTTAATTTTTTGCAGATAGACATCCTGATGCTGTTAACTTCTGGATGGGTGATAAAAGAGCTGTTACATCATGTAAGTATTTAATTACATTTGGTAGCAAAGCATTCATGTATGTTTCAATTTACACTATTTTGCCATTTTTTTACAGTACATAAGGACCATTATGAAAATATTTATTGTGTTGTGAAAGGTAAAAAAGAATTCATACTTCATCCTCCTACTGATGCAGCATGGATTCCTTATGGTGAGTTATATAACATAGAATTAACATTGGTTATAATATTTCTTAAAATACTAAGATGGTCCAAATTTATCTACCAAGTCAAATTTATTTTGTAACCAGTGAATATAACATTAGCATTTTTCATGCAAGGTGGTGCTTGTCCCTGTTCAAGAGAATCAATTTTTATATTTAGAATAACATTTATAGTGATAATGTCATTGCATTGGCCTATCCAAAACACTATAAAATTATAAATGAACTGTCTTATCTGATGAATGATAAAAACTCCAAAATTTTGATGAAAACATCTCAATCCATAATCTTAATCCATCTCATTTTTGGGGGTACCTAAAAAACAGAATGTAGTAAAGCAACCCATATACACTAGAGGAGCTGAATTCATCTGTTGAGTTCATCTGTTATTGATAAGGGAATGACCCTTTAAAATATTAAATGAAGTAAAAGGTATTTAAAGACTTTAGATGAAATTATAAAAGAAAAAGTATAATAATAAGAAGGAAGATTATAATACTTTTGACATGTTCATGTGTTTGTTAAGTGTGAACAAAAATTTTTGTGTTTTATAATATATATATTGACTGAAATTGAATAAAAGTTCATTATTAATTTAATGATAATATATGTTAGATAGTTAACAGTCGTATTACTGTTAGTAAAGTATGTGCATTGTTACTGCATCATTTTATAAATGCTTGATTTTTAGTGTATTGTATTTTAAATGCAGATATTGTGCGTGTCTGTGGGTGGATGGGCAGGTGTATTTAATTTATGTCTTACATGCTTTTTGTGGTTCAGAATGAAAGAGATATAGCATGTAGCAATAGTAGCAAGAACAGTATCGGCTGAGTAGGTTGTAAGACCACCTCGGACAGTGACACACAAAGCAACAGAGTCAATGAGACTATGGATGGTGTCCTCAGGAATGGCTCCGCATTTCATGCCAACCATTTCCCACAGTTCTTGTTCTGAACATGGGAATGGCAGGGTCTGCAAATAGCATCCAATCACATCCTAAATGTGTTGGATTAGTGAGAAATCTGGAGAGAACAGTGGCCAAGGAAGCATCTGTGCACCTTGCAGAGCACGTTGGCTGATGTGAGCAGTTTGTGGTCAGGCGTTATTCTGCTAATAAAGGGCATTGGGCACTCCCTGAGGAAAGGGAGTGTCACCTGCAGCAGCACATCATCCACATATCATTGGGCCATCATAGTGCCCTAAATACGAACTATAGGTGACCTAGAATCGTACGCAATTCCATCCCAAACTATGATGCCACATTGTCGCACAGTGGATCTTTCCACAGTTACTGCCGGATTGGACCTGTCTCCACATCGATGCCACACTCATATGCAGCAACTCTCATTGGAGAAACAGAAGCTTGACTAATCTGAGAACACGACCCTGTGCCATTCCATCACCCACATTGCTCGAGCCCCACACCATTGCAGATATTGCCATCTATGATGTGGGGTCAATGGCAGTCTTCTTAACAGATGCCACAAGTGCTAGTCAGTAGCCAGCAATTGGTGGCAAATGCTTCCGGTTGATATGGGAACATCCAGGGTGGTGGTAGAAATAGCTTCCAGGTGTGCTACCTCTTGTCGGCAGATGCATCTATACACATGTGCTGACATCACTCTGGCTGCACCAGCACCCCTCAAACTTGCCACAATTCCTTGTTCCAACCATCGTTGCCACAGCCGGTGCACTGTGGTCACATCTAGATATGTGTTAGCTGAGATTTGCCATATGGTCGAAACTACCCGTTCTAGTCCGATCAACATGCCCCTCGTAAAATTATCTGTTTGCTGGAACTGTCCCCATTGACAACAGCCTGGCATTCTCTATTACACATGTCCTCTGAGACTAGAACAAATTTTCTATGATGATTTCCCTAGCAGAAGTAATAGTACAAAAATTGAACATTCTGCAGGTTTCTTCTCTTGTATCTTCTTCAATATGCATTGGAGAGCTGCGCATTTCACATCATTTTCATTACTCAGTAATGTGCGTCACTCTGAAAGTTGCATAGTTTTGGGGCCACTCCATCTTGGTGTTGCATTTTCAATGTTAGGCAGTGTATTTTGTTTCCACTATTTTTTCCTTCAAAATTTTATTTTCAACTGATTGCAATTGTATATATCTTCTGTATTTATTTGCTACCATACATAGATAATTCATCCCAGACTATTGAGAGAAGTATGCCGGTAGTGATTTTTTCTAGTACAGTCAAAAGTCGTTAATTCGGACACCCATAATCCGGACCTCAAAGCTTCAAACTTTCTGCGCATGCGTCGCGTTGACGCATGCGCGTAAGGTCTTTACGGCTGAGAATATGCTTGTGCGCAAAATACGTTTACGAGTGCGCGTTTAATGTATAACGGACGGTATAAGCTAAGCTAAAATTATTTAATTATCTATTTCAGTTAATGTTGCAGATTGCGTTGTTTCTTAATCTTCGAATTGGATCCGGCTTATTATTTTTTGCAGACTGTTAGAGCAATTTTTATAAAAGTAAGCTTGAACTTTCGATTATGTCAAATAGAATTTCTGATATATATTTATTAATATGTAAATGATCTACAAAGCGAAAGTATGTTTCGAAGTTCATTAAACAAAAAGTGGAATTGCTACAAAAAATGGATAAAGGCATATCCTTTGTTTATCTAAACTTTGTTTATCTTTAACGCCGCGCAATGAATTGGAAGTTGATCTGTCATCACTATCCTTATCTTCAGGGCAGATGTTTTTATTTTATTTGGCTTATAATTCCTTATTAAATGTAGTATTTCATCTCGATGTACTCCATCTTTGATATCATTTAAATCAAATTCCTCGTCATTATAATTCGCTTCCGATAGCAAAGAAAGTGACAGAGGTTATTGAAAACGAAAAATTTCAATTGACAAATTAGTCGGTATTCTCGACACAGCAATTATAGGACTTGAACAGCGGAACTTTGTTACTGAACAAGAAATTATGTCTGTTTAAAGAATTAAAGAGAATGTATTATCACATAAAAAACGAAGCAACTTAAACAACTTACATTGAAAGAAATGTTTAATAAAGTAAACAAATAAATATTAAGCTTTTTTTTTGTAAATTTTGATACCCTTTAGATCATAATTGTTCTTTATTTCATAAATTACGGTTTCATACTTTTAATTTTAGAATTTCTGCATTCCATCTTACCAGATTTAAACTGATGATCTATAATCCGGAAAAATCGATAATCCGAAATCGCCGAAGTCCCGACGAGTCCGGATTAACGACTTTTGACTGTAATGGAGCAGGTGTTGATAAAAAGATTTTTTTATGTATATTTATTTTAAACATAGCAATAGATAACATATAAGCACCATGAAATGAGAATATAAAGTGAGATAATCGCACTGACTATGTTAAATTTTAGACCATACATTTCACATCTTTACTGCGAAAGATTCAACATTAGAAGATGAAAATCTTTGTTTTAAAAGTTAAAAAGTAACTGAAGAGTTCTTAATTTTTCCCATTAGAGGATGTTTTTATTGACTTTTCATGTACTTTCAGGGAAGAATAGTTGTCAGAGCTTCAAGTGAATGAGACTTTCCATGTCAATTTTGAGGGAGAACACCCCAGAGGGTGTCCAATGGTCTCTCATCCCCCTCCCCTACCACCAAAACACAGAAGAGGACTTTTGCTTCACCATATATTTAAAATGCCCACATGGCTCCAAATACACTTTACATTTACAAACATTCATGCCTTCTCTGGGATTAGAAAGTGGACCCTTCAGTACTGCAGTAGGCTTCCCTAACCACTATATGGTCTGGGCGGCTATTAACTTATTGACTACATGGTTATTGAATGAATGTTTGGCATCACTTCATTATAGCCGTGTTTTTTTTAAAATATTTCTTGTATCAAGATGTCAAGAAATATGCCATATAGAGAAAATTTTTAAGTTAACTGTGCACTATCCATAGTGTCTGTCAGTTCCCACTAGTTGAATAAGTAAAGTTATACACTTAATCCTTTCTTAGTTGGATATTTTTTTTCCCGAATTTCCGATCCAAAAAATGCATTTTATGGTTGAAAATTAATATATGTTATATCTTGAATTCGAAAATGCAAAACATTTTTGTCAGTAATTGTTTTTTTGCTTCACCTTTTTAGGGGTCATAACATAATATCCCATTTACTCATCTTCAGTTTTCCCAGCAATGCACCTAAAGTGTAAATTGAAAAAAATACTCTTTGATACTATATTTATAAATCTGTTCTTTTGAGATATTTAAGATAAGTAACTACATAAAAAGACCTATTAAAAAATGCATAAAAAGTATTTTAGAAAATAATTTTACTTTGCTGTGAAAACAACTTCATAATCTTTCTTGACCATCAGAGCATAAAAACAACCTTGAAATCATTTATTGCAGATTATTTTATTACTTTCTTTATCAAAAAAAATCTTAACAGTTTTTTCACTGCTCTCTGATTTACTCTGAACCCATCAGAACAACTGTTTCCCCCCCCCATGCTACAACAACTAAAAAAAGCAAAATTACAGGAAATGCAAAACGACTATATTTTTCATTCAAAACAGTAATCTCATTGGAAAAATGAGAAGAAAGTAGGACTAGTTGCACTAACTCTTAGTAGTATTCTGAAATACAAAAACAAAAAAAAAATAATCACAGAATATAACAAGACGTGTAAGTAGTGATGAAATTCATTTTTAGCAATGCATTTTTATTCTTCATCGCATGACACGCGACACAGACCATACGAGCACAAAACAGCTGAACATGTGACACATGACGCCACCCAAGAAGGGGTTAATGAGTCATCATCTTCATTCTATGAATAGAAGACAGCAATATACATTTATTAGCTGACTCATAAAGTTCATTATAATATTCCAAATATAGGATTTTAATAAACAAATAAGTTAATGGCAGTATAGCCTATTATAATTATTTTATTACAAAACATCCGAGATTTGTCTTCTTAAAAAGTGGTTCTTTTATGGCTGGCTTTCTAAGAATATTTATTATAGTTTGAATGTTATGCATGTGAATAGAGATGGAAAAACTCCATGTTGATGCGAGGATTAAACCTATACTACACTTACTGTCACTTGATGGTTTCTCTTCCTCATTCATTTACAAACAGAGCACCAAAGACTTTTGGAGATTTAAAGTTTAGATGTCACATCTGTTATTTGGTCAATTCAAAAATGTATGTTTATATGTATAAATGCACACAAGTATGCAGTCCAGAAAAAAGGCTATATTCACTGGAATGAACAGTCTCAAATTTTACTGATTACGTCATGCTCTAATAAGATGAACATGCTGGTCAAATGTAAGGGAATGTAGCATCTAATGGGAAACAGGAAAATTAACCTTAGCTGTGTCAAGCAAGAGAGAAGCAAATGGTCTGTTATAAAGTTGTACTGCATTATTTAATTGCCGTGAATCAGCATCCACAAATGCAATTACAATAGTTATCACTCATATATTATTGAATATAAATTAGTTATAGAATGCATTCCTTTAACAATAGCATAGCTTATGTCTGCTATAATATTTCTATTGCAATTGTTAAACATTATACTTGCTCAAAATATACCTTAACTCTTGAGGTGTTAATCCATTTGTTTTTAGACTTTGGAACATCAAAGTTATCTTCTGAGACAAAGTCTTTGAAGTTACTTGAATATCTGATTGTCTTTACCTACCCGTTTGAGGGCTCTGTATTATGCCTTCAATTTACTAACAATAGTATTTTACTATTAATGCACTAGCAGCTAATAACATGCTTCATTTTGCCTACCATAGTAGTGTGATAATCAAATTATTTTGGAGGCTATATCTGTTGATTATTTTTTCTTTATTGCAGTCCTGAATAAAAGCAGTAAATAAGGCGCATTAATTCATAGAGTAATTTTGAACAAACATGATTTTTGTAATAAATTACCCAAGCATTATCAAATATGACAGAAATTTATCTGTAACAGTGCTTATATTGAAGCTATGTATTATGTAATCAGTTTATATCCTATTCTATGTAACTGGTATTTTTTGCAGATTTTTACGTTTCTGAATCTTCATTCGTGGTAACTGATACTGTACAACTTTGCAGCTTACTATTTCTTCTATCTCCTTTTTGTTTCAATATTAAATCTGATATGTAGCTGCAGGCCCCCTTGGCACTTAATGCATACTTTTTCACTATATAAAAGTTTAATATGCTTTATGCGCATACATTATCAAGGCTCTATTTATATAAATACATATATTTTCCTGAATTAAAACATACTAATTGAACTTTCTTATTCTAGAGACATATAAAGTAGGTGCCTACAGATTTGAAAATGAAAGATGCACTATAAGGGATATGAATCAGCAGGTAATAATTTATAATTTGTTGTGTTAAAATGTTCTTCGTATTTTTCCCTTATTATTTTCATTTAATTTTAACTTACTTATGTTTCTGAACATTTTATTAATTATATGCACTTTTTAACATGCAAAATGCATAATTTGTAATGTTAGAACTGCCAAAGGTGGAAATCTGTCAATTTGATGAACTGCTATCTCTTATGTTGTTAAATATCTATCATCTGTAGTCCTGATGAAAATATTGAAAAATTGTAGCATTTTCAATTTTCCTTATAGAAAAATGTTTGACACAGTATTTCAAATTATCAGAATTGGTTTCTTTTATTAATATTTTGTGAACATTCCATTTATTAAACACTGAAACAAATTACTTGACAGTAGTATGTAAAATACTAAAATTGACATTATTTATCTACAGATGCACTGATAATTAGAATGATATATATAAATCGTGAACAATTACAATTATGTTAATCTTATTTACTGTTTGCTATTGTGTATTCTGACAAATTTTGTTTAGTATATTATCTGCTTGTAACTAAAAAACTGTTCATTTCTTTGTAATGTGGATGTTTTCTCTTCCATGCTGTTACCACTTTGAAAATCTCCAAAACATTTTTGAAAGTTTTCTTATTTTCTGTTTACAGCTGTTAGTCCAGTTATTTAAGAAATGTTTTTCTCCTCTATTTGTCTGAATTGCTTTTGTTACACCATATGTCATGTGTGTCACGTGTTTTCATGAAACTGCAATTATTATCAACACTTTTTGATAGAAAAGCTATAGTAATTTGTATTCTCTAAGAGCAATACGTATGAACACTGCACAAAAAAAAGACAGTTCTATATCTCTCGTTCAACTGGGCAAGTTGACGAAATTCAAATTGTGTTTTTCATGTCTCGAAAGCACGACTTAGGATATATATTAGATTTATATATAGCATTGTTCTAATACAAGTATTTTGACACAAAATCGGACTCTTTCTGAAATTACATACTAATTTTTTATATATTTCAATTCTACGAGTCAAATTACACTTAAATATTAAATTTGGTGAAATTTGGTGCAAAATTTATGGAGAAATTCGAAAATTTATCTTTGCGATTTTTTTAAGGTTGCGCCAAGAAAAATTCACTTGCCAAACTTAACACGTTGAGCGCGGCGCTGAATTTGCTGTCCTTTCCGTTCAGCCGGCAGCGAGCTAAGCCATATTTTTGTTTAGAATGTTTCAATACGCTTCATTAAAACTAAATTTGATCACATTTCATTAAGACTATATTTATTTTGTAACTTTAATATCATCGGCCCCGCGGACCAACGGCAGCCAAACAAAAATTCCAGGGACAGTTCACTGCCGGTTCCCAGGGACTGGCGCCGCGCTCAATGTATTAATTTATAGCAACTTATTTTCCTTTCCTGTTTTTCATTGTTGACGAGCCGGGAAAAAAATCATTGTTCATACTTTCAAATAATTTTAACAGTGTTAATCACATTTGGCGTTATTATTGCATATAACAAATATGCCAAATTTCAAACTCCACCAATATGTAAATTCATGTATATCTTAGAAAATTTTTAATAAAAAACACAGAACCACTCTTATATGCACCCTCAAGTTGCCAAATTTCTCGCCACACGTTTTTGGCGAGAAACTCCACTGTACTATATTACTATCTAAATTTTTTGTCTACATTTCGAACTTTAAGCCTTAATTGTCTCCAAAAACGCGATTATGTTTTGAACACACAATTTAAGCTAAAAATCCGAAACAAAAACAAAAAATTTAGATAGCAAAAACGTAAAGTTTCTAACCAAAAATATTTGACAAGAATCCATGTAAACAGCGATATGTTTTAACTTAAAAAAACATGTACGAATTGCACAATCTAGGCAGCGAAAGAATCTACGAACTACACACACATCGCTTTAATAAATTAACATAACAACAATTAATTTCAAAGAATACTATGTACACAAGGTTCTGTTTCAACTTTAAAAAACATCTACGAATTGCACAATCTAGGCACTATGCACTAATCAACAAAATAAACTAAGATAACTAAAATAAATTTCAAACAATTCAAAATAACAATAACTACAGAAATTCGTACTAAAAAAACAATGAACATAACATTTTACAAAATAAGGACAAGAATAAAATGGAATGCACTTACCATGAATCAATGCTTTTTCGAACAGCAGAAATACCAGTTTCATGCCACCATGTAATCACTATCATATTTATATGACAGCCAGACACACTATCCAGAAAATTCATACTGTGGTTCACAAATAAATGTTCAAAACCTTCTTTTCCTAAATCCTTGTAAGATTTCCAGCCATCCGAAAAAATAGTTGTGCAAGGCTCAATCCACTCTTTAATACTGCATCAGCGGTTCCTTACTTCTATCATGCACAGCCACTAAAAATAATCTCCCAGACCCTCTTGTAACCACATCTCTCATTGCAACATAGGCCATTTCAAAACATGCACGACATGAACCAATGAGCAATTAAACCAATCCAGCAAAGCAGTATTCAATGTGAAAAGGGTTGCCAAACAATGCGCAATTGTACCAAAAACCAGCACAGAACACATATTGCCACATTTGTTGATCTTAGAGCACTTATAAGAGTAGAGCCAAAAAATCTCTAATTTTGTGCAGATGTGCCTAGAAATACATCTACATTAAGATGGTGTTAAAAATTTTATAGGTTCAAAATTCAAATTTTTTTCTGAAATAGTTATAAAAATTATTTAAAAGTACAGATTTTAAAAATAAATCGTAAAAAATGGGCAAATTTTATTTGGAATGAACCTAAATTTCAAAACATGAAAGGAAGAATCAAATAAGTTTAATAAGAGATGTTGGCAAATGTATACTAAATTCAATTAACATTGAGGAGCTGAAAGTTTGAGAGCTTATTTTTTTAAAATTACTTGTACGATATTAACAAAACTTGGCAGTTAGTTATAATTTGAAATGTAGAATCGAAATATGGAAAAAAATTGGCAGGTAATTTTAGACAAAATTCAATTTTGTATCAAAATACCTATATTAGAATAATAATAGATGTATATAAATCTAATACATAACCTAAGTCGTGCTTTTGAGACGAAAAATGCAAGTTGAATTTCGTCAATTGCCCCAGTAGAATGGGAGATATAACAGTGTTCCTTTTCCCCCCCTTTTTTGTGGAGGGGAGAGTGCAGTGTACAAAGAAGCTTCTAAATATTTCAATTTATTAGAAACTATCATGTGTGCTTTGCAGTGTATCTGGCTAGCCCTAAGGTCCATAATTCAAAACTTGGCAAAGTTGTAGTTGATTTTTTGCGTTTCCTACTTTGGAAAACCTAATAGCCTCTACTGTAGCATCTGAACTCAAATGTGATCAATAATAACTCTTCAAGATTCAATTTAGTCAGCTGGGCCTCATGCCTGTCCCCAGTCACCTTTTAAGTCTGGGAAAGTTAACTGTTCAATTAATATAGCAATTATCAGAGTATCTGGTTTTAGACAAAAGAATAATTTCATACATTTTTCATTGCATAATTAAAATACTGTTATTTGTGCCCTGAAATCTCCTGACGAAGAATAAAACTACAATGTAGGTATTAGGATTAATATTCAGAAGCCATGCTATGCCCTTTAAACTAATCTTAAGTTTAGATGGTTTGAATGTAGCAAAGCGCATTAGAGTTGTCTGTAGGAAGGGACATGCCATTATAGAGAACTTTCAAAGAGAAATTGCTTTGCATTTTTCTTTACATTATCCATGGAAAAAACAATGTAAATTCCTATGCAGCGAGCCTCACTGTTGAAATTTGTACCTGTATGAAACTCTCAGTGATTTAATCAATTGCTCGCTGATGGTCAAATTCATAGTAAGAAAAGGTTTTTCAAACAGCCTTTTGCATATAATCTTATTTTAAAGTATGCTTTATATCTTAGTCATTAACTTTCTAATTTTTTAAGTAGTTTGAAAGCTGAATTTAGCTCTATTTTCTTATTTTGAGGCATTATATTTTAGATATGAACTTATGGCATTTGCTTATTTTATATTCTTGCTAATTCGTCATAGGAAATTTCTATTACTTTCTCCACGGTTAGTGGAATTGCATTTGAACATAAGTAGTAAAAATATGAATTTGTTTTCTGTAAAATGAACAGTTTAACTGTAGCGTTTGATGCTTGTAGTGGTCTTATATCTCTCAGTGTGTCATGGTATTTATTGCATTTTTTGGAAACTTTTATTTCCATAGTTGCAGACATTTTTAATGTAGTTTCCCTTCAGTTGGCAGAACAATTGATGTGTAAAAAAAAAAAACAGTTACGTATTTTAATTCCTTTGCGAATGCATGTTGCTGAACTAAAAACCCGGCCCCAAATGTCACTAGCAGCCAGGTGATGCACCGATACATCGCCACTTGCATTCATCTTCCAGACGGGTGTTGCATATACGCATTCTCAACATATATGTTCTTTTAGTTTTCAGACATACATGTTCTTCGGTGGCCATAGCTTAATATAAATTTCCATATAATTTATATTTCTGATTCCATATATAAATTTCTGATTTACAACTATAATACTGCAAAACCAATTTACAACATATTTCTACGATTTATTTCTCATAATTTCGTATAATTTCGTATTTCTACGATTTCTCACAATTTTTACGTAACTTGATGCATGGTTATTTCCTTGCAGCCAAAAATGCAGATTCTTGCCAGAGAGACACATTATACCAATAATGGGCTACCACTCCACATGTGGAGTAAATGTGTCTGAAAATGTTTTGTTTTAGTACATCAATCAGAGCTGTGAGTCATCTGGTATGCATCAACCCATGAGCACAAAGCAAGGTCAAGTCTGTTCATTGCATTTCCATAATTGCCAAACAATGCTAGTTTCTGTGCTTTGAGAAGTTATTAAGGGTTTGAAATCTTTATTCTCTAAAAAAAGCTAAATAATGTATATCTCAAAAATTGTATGCAGATGGCTTTC